CGAAGACTTACTTTGCTCCAGTTTACCTGAGCACTTCCTTGGAAGCTTTTCCAAGTTCTTCTACATCTTTTCCAGGAAAGAAGCATGTGAATGTTCTCTTAAGTATTTATAGCTCTTTGCCAGTCTTTATTGTTACCTGCTGTTTGCCTACCTTGGGGCCTGGACAATTTTTCTGCCTTAGAGGCACATCTTTCTTCTGTACCTTCTGCTAGTCCCCTTTTGGCTTTGGAGATGTGTAGCAGAGACCACTTCACTGACCTGTACCAGTGTCAGGTGCAGAGGAACAGGCCAGTGAGTTTCTTATTCTCAGTAAAGGACAGTTGGGTTTTGTAGCTTACAAGCCAGCCTTTATGTTGTCAGAATTGCAGTGTTCTTTCTTACCCTCTGAGGGGTAAACTGAGTCATGCAGGAACTTGTGGTTTGAATGCTTAGGGACATGTTCCATTCAAAGAATTGGGTTTACATAACTGCTTTCCAGTCAGATCTTACAAGATCATGAAACGAAAGCCCCAATTTTACTTTAATTAGGGTGGAAAAACAAAGTTTAAGTAAGTGAAGAATATTGAACCTTAAATTACTTGGTTTTGTCTCTGTCAGCACTGAGGGAAGGCCATCTTACTGGAGGAGACAGAGCCAGTTAGTAAAGACCTGTAAATGTCAGTTTTGATTATTAAAGTACGCATCTGCTACCCATCTGCAAGTGCTCTGGCCACAGGTTTTGGTTTGTACTGCAGCCAAATGTAGAATTTCTTGCCTGGGATACTGAAGAAGATACTGAGGTGATAGCACATCTGAAAGAGAAGTAAGGCATTCATGGTGCTCCTGTCTTCCTGGCAAACATGGCTGTGTTAGCTAGCCCAGCAGGTACGATACTACTCTGCGTGTGCACGAGCACATGCATGTGCTGACTCAACTGGAATGTTGAGAAGTGCTGCTGCAGGCCACAGCTTAACTGATGCTAAGTCAGTCACAAGTGTTTGCCCTTGCAAGTGTGTGATGAAGTTCACTGACCTGCTAGTGCTCTTCTGTATTGTGAAAAAAGCAAGGGCAAATGGATGCCTGAAAAATCGCTATAGTTGCATTTAAATGAGTCCATGGAGGAAACCTCTCCAGGCTTTAAATAATGTACCTACTACAGCCTAGCTCTAGGCAGGGCATCAGACTGCTTCATAAAACCGTAACTTCAGAAAAGCAACTCCTTGGTAATTAACTTGTGCTGTCTTTTGCTTGTAGCAGTAGGAATCTTTTGAAGCCAGAAAAAGTTCTGTCCATGCCTTTGGCAGTTACTCCAGAGTTCCTCTATTGTAAGAGCTGATTGTGCGCTCCAGAAGAGACGAAAGCTGTGGCTGGTGGGTTGCACCCTGAGCTAATGAATGGGCATCACTGTTCAAATCAATTGGAGGGAGAG